GATCCACCAATAACTTTTATCGATGAATATGGTTGGAAGCAATGGAAATAAATGAGGACTTAAGACCTCACTGAGGGTATAGCTCTTAATAAAGCAGAATGTCAGATCAAGATTCATGTAGAAAACTCTAAATAATTAAAAAAAAACTTTGATGATGACAACGATGACATAAATTTTTTTTAACAACGTAAAGTTCGCAATTCTTTTAAAAAAGAGAGTACAATACTAAATCCCCTTTTACTCTTCTGATAGGGTGATCTCTGTAATGGATATCATTTTCAAAAACCCAATTCAAAGTCTTTTCTTTTTTTTCTTTTTTTTTTCGAATTCTATAATGTAGTCTTAAGTACCGGCTTTCACATTTAACAACTAGATATGATTGTGACCTTAACTCTATCACACACCCCTAACAATCCCTTCCTTTTAAGCTTTATTCATGAAATCATAGACCTTAATTTGTTTATACGATGGAAAAGGCATTCAAGGTAACCCTTCTATGCAGAATGCATGAAACCACCATATATTAGATTTCTTCCATAAATAATTTCTTGACGGATGGTTAGCACACACAATGAGCCAATGATTTGACATAACTCAAGCCATCTAATGTCAACAACAAACGGCCAAGATCTATGTTCTTCCATTTAAGTTCTAACAATTTTCTTGACGGACCAGAAACGCCTTTTTACATCTAAAGGATGAAATCATATGGAATTTCGAATAGAACAACGATTGTGCTTATTAAATGCTTTATTTCTCCAATAAATGCCTATTCGTGAAACAAAGTATTTATCATTTTTTTATTCCCTCTTTAACATAACAAGGAAAAGTTTATGCTCAATCATTCAATTAGGATTTTTTTTGGATGTGCTTGTTATCGCTCATAATTTAATATTAAAATAAAATTAATTATGATAATGAATTACTTGTTGCTTAGTGGCGTCCCTCATAAATTTATCTAAGATGAACTTATAGGCAGTTTTATATATATTTCTAGCTTTTTGAAAAACCGCTTTTAACTTTATTCAAATTATTTTGCTGAAAATCATTTGTTTATAGCTAGAAATAACAAACATTAGTTGAAAATTGCCCCAAAAGTTAAATAATCAAATAATACTATGTATAATTATTTAAAGTATTATGTGTAATACATATATATACCAAACAACTAAAATAATAATATTACACATAGTATATTGGAAAAGGTTTATATGCTTCCCCTACAGCTTAGAAGTTCTATCAACATACTTTTGATAAGACTTACCATCATCAAAACAGGCCCTTATGTATAACTCCGAAGCTTTTACCACATATAAAACTAATTACATATGACAATCCATGGCTACTAGCGGATACAAGCTGTCCTACTTAAAAGATTAAAAAAAAAAAACATTAAGGAAACAATGTTACCATGAATACTAAAGTTTTAGCTTTCTTGTAATGGTTTTGATTAGGCAAAAGATTGAGCCTGAAATGTTCTCACTAGACCTATCAATCATGTGTGTGTGGAAAAGAAACAAGAGAAGTGAACCTACTGGTTTGGAGCTCCTATTCTAATATCTTTACGGGTGGTTTTGATTTTTATGGTTATCATTTCGAATAACAAATTTAAAAGTCCAAAGAAAATTTGTTCTCTATGTTACAATGGCTAATGTCCACGTTCTTTGCACCAATACTAGAACCTCCACTTGTCCACGCTTCAAAGATCGTCACTTACATCAGTTTTGCTATTTCCCCATTCAAAGATTTAACAGGTTTAGGGTTCCTTTCAAATCCCTCTATTTTCAGCTTCATTGAAAAGAGACAGAGACTTGTTTGGCCATGTTTACAACTCTGGCAAATCAGATTGGGAATCACCGTTTCAGATTGAAAATTAGTCTTGATTGGTTCGGTACTTCGGTTCCTTGCTGGAATTGAGAATTGGTCAGGTTCTCTTAGAATTGCACGGTTATGTGTAAGAATTGGGTGAGTTTGTTAGGGAATCAGGTGACTCGAACCGGCTGGATCTCTTGATTCCCACATATTATATTTTTTATTTTTTATTTTTTTGTACTAATTCTCACACCAAAGGAACGATCCCATTGTCGATCCTATCCAGATTGGATTCCTAGATGGCCGTTTCACCCAACAGATCTGGGTTTTAAAGTGCTGCTTCTTATTATAGGGTAGATACCAATGTTTTACGTTCATAAATTCATGGAAAATTGTTTCATGCCGGTTGGACGGCATTTCTACATATGCGGTCCAAATGCTTTATTATTAGAATTGTTATTTTTAGTTTTGAAAATTTATTTCTTTATTCATATTCATGATCTCCATGTTAGAGATTATATATCCCTAAAAATTGAGTCCTAAAATCCATCTTAAAAATAGATTTATTAAAAAGCCCGCATTTCTACATATACAGGATTGGCCGCATAGAAACCGGGTCCTAAATTTATTCATATAAGCCACATTACCATCGGGAAAAAGTGGTCAAGGTCATCACCATCAAATCGTATCCATGGATGATGGAGGGAAGAACTTGACACGACTTGGTGGTATATTTCCTCTTTAAAGATGAGGGAACATTCTAACAAAAAGGACAAGAGAAAAAGGGCCACTAAACCCTAGAAAGGTATACACAATAAAACTTTTTTTTTTTTTTTTTTTTATAGGGGATCACGATCTTCCGATATTGAATGTGAAATCTCCCAGCAAGAGGTTGTCTTGTGCAATTGATTGAGCTCAAAAGCCAAAAAAAAGAAAAAACAATTACGACGTACCTCAAGAATTTTTTTAGAAGGGTATACAAAGACATACCTCAAGAATTTCTAGAGGGGTATACAAAAAGACTATTTGTCATTGGAAAAAGATGAGGCTAGCCCACTATTAGTCCAATTGGGTCGATGGTCACGATTGTATTTTATATTTTTATTTTATTTTTTGTACAAATCAAAATCACTTAAAATTTTAAGTTTATTTAAAAAAAAATTAATTCATAAAAATAAATTGATCAAATTACCTCTGAAGCATTTCAAGGGTATTTTAATTAATTTATGTTTTGTGAACTTTTTATTTTTATATTTTTATTAAGTATGCCTTGATGAGAAAAATTAATACCTAAAATTTCATGTTATTTGGATTTGTACAAATATATTAAAATTATATTATAAAATGAGTCGTGACCGTCATATCAGACCAGATTTAATCTAAGCTGCATGACTAACATTGTAGTTGTTAGCTAGTGGGCTAACCTCAGACTTTTCATTTAACTTTTTTTTTTTTGGAGCCTCTACCCGTTTTTTAAATCATTAGTGGTTTTTTAATGCATTAGGTATTAATGGAAGCCTAGATATTAGTTGGGGCGCCAGTGGTGCTACCACCACTACCCCAACCCTATTCTCACATTTCTATTTACCTTTTGTATAATGAGGTCACAACTATTTACACTCATTAAATGTCAAATTAGACGGCTTGGGGTGAGTTATGAAGTACGAGAATTATTTTTAGGGCTTTGTGTCTAATCGGTGATACTCTTACAACCACCAATTCTAAAATCTATGCGACCAGAATGATTGTGATCTCTTTGAACGAAAGGTAAATGATCTATTACAATGCTTTTTTCAAAACTAAAGGATTGGAGTTATCAAATTTAAACTTAATGATCGTATATTAGAAATAAAGGAAAAAGTTTGTATAGAGCCGAGGCTCTAAACAATCAAATTTGAGCCTACTTCAAAAACTTCACTAGAAGAGGTTGTTGTGATGCCCAAATATCTTCAAATTGATCATCTCGACATCAAGATGCATGGACATGAGAAGAAAAATGGATTTCAAATTTTTAGAAATAGTGTATTTTGTAACACATTTTTTACTGTCAATTTTCAAGATTTTCAAGTTTTCATAGATCTATTGATCTACACTGTTTTTGAAGCTTTAAACTTTATAAATAAATATGAAAATATATTTTAAGGCTATCACAATGACTTCCCGTATTGAAACCACATTTCTTGACACTATTTAATGGTAGGCTCTAATTTGATTGTTTAAACCCTAGGCTCTATACAAACCGCACCAAAAAATAAAATGTATTGTAATATAGAAATTCATGGATCTTTATTGAAAAATAAATATTTTCTTATTGAGAAAAGTTTACATAGAGCTAAGGCTCTAAACAATCAAGTTAGAGCCCACCTCAAAAAATTCACTAGAAGATATTGTTTTGATACCCAAATATCCTCAAACGGATCATCTCGAAGTCAAGATGCGTGGACATAAGAAAAAAATGGATTTCATGTTTTGAAATAGTGTATCTTGTAACGCATTTTCGGATTATAAATTTCAAAATTTTTTTTTATAGATATGTCGATCTACACTATTTTTGAAGCTTTATACTTTATAAATAAAAATTAAAAAATATTTTAAAGCTATAATAATAATTTTTAATATTGAAATCTCGACACTATTTAAAGATATGCTCTAATTTGATTGTTTAAAGCCTATGCTCGATACAAACCGTACCCTTTCTTTTTTCAAAAGCATGCTGAGCACATTTTTTTATGGTGGTAACGGTAACATTTTAAAATTGACCTGCCGCTCTTTACTCTTTACTGACTTTTGTGAACTTTCTCCCAACGCTGCATGTTTTCACCACTAACTCCACGCACCAACGTCAATAGTGACCCACAGCAGTTGAGCACCATTGCACGGCTCAGATTCTCCAAACAACATCCCCATCCATCAAATCCGACGACCAAAACATCCCTATCTTCTTCCATAGGGCTGGTAATGGACCAAGTGGGTCTGCGCCAGGGCAGGGCGAGGGCCAAGATGGGTAAGACTTGGGCTGGGCCAAGACAGGGTTGGCCCAATTTATCCCAGCACGACTCTTATTTCTTTATCTTTTCTATTTTATTTTTATTTAATTTTATTTAGCTCAACCTAACCCCTACTTTTCCTATATAGGCCCAAGGCCTGGGAAGGCTTATCTGGGCTTTGCTCTATCCTTTACGGAACAAATCAGGCTAGGGCGAGTTCAATCTTCCCAACCTAACTTTCTAAAGCTGGCAACAGGCAGCCTGGGCCTAGCTACGCTAACTCTTGACCTAGCCTGGCTCGGCCTCGGCCTTGGCCTAGCCCAGCCCAGCCCAGCCCAGCCCAGCCTACCGAAGCCCAAACTTACTTTTAGGGCTGGCTGACCGAGCCGGGGGGCCTGGGCCACCCTTCCCATTGCCACCCCTGTTAATTTTCCTAGCTCCGCGTGTAATCCGAGCCATGAGGCGAGCCGAGCTGCTCTTCTCCCCCACCGAAAAGACCACGATCTTCACCTCTTTTCTTTCTCGGAAACTGATTTGGCGTTCACTGTTTATGCCAACTGTTCTCAGCGCTCCTACTCTGTGGGGCCCACACCAGACTTTAAAGGTAGAGGCCACTATTTATCCTCTTCCCTCGATCCATGTTAAAAGACGCAAATTAAAAAGGCCATGGCCTCCATAACCCTCTTCCTCTTCTCAGTAATCTCCAGCTTCATCTTCACCTCCAACGGTGACCTGCCCGGAAAATGGGAATTGCTCCTACAGAATGCCGGGATCTCGTCGATGCATACTGCGGTCACCCGATTCGGGACTGTAGTGCTTCTCGACCGCACCAACATCGGGCCCACTAAGCTCAAGCTGCCTCGCGGCAACTGTCGCTACGATCCGAGGGACGCAACACTGAAGCTCGATTGCTATGCTCACTCTGCAATCTTCGACCCTGCCAGCAATCAAATCCGGCCGTTGAAAATCCTGACTGACACGTGGTGCTCATCGGGTGGGTTTTTGCCGAACGGGACTCTCCTCCAAACCGGAGGCGACCTCGATGGCAACCGTAAGGTCAGGCTCTTTGAGCCGTGTTCGTCGGGAAGTTACTGTGATTGGATGGAAATTCCGGATTATGATCTGGCCGTTGGACGGTGGTATTCGACGAACCAGATTTTGCCTGAGGGCCATGTCATCATCGTCGGAGGTCGCGGGACCCACACCGTGGAGTTTTACCCTCCTAACATGGGGACAATTACAGAACTGCCCTTCCTCTTGGAAGCAGAGGACGCTCAGATGGACAATCTTTACCCTTATGTTCATCTTCTCCCCAATGGTCGCCTCTTCATTTTCGCAAATACCAAATCTATCCTCTACGATTATAATTTGAATCGGGTTGTACACGTGTACCCGGAACTACAGGGAGGGCCCAGGAACTACCCATCTGCCGGATCATCGGCGATGCTCGCCTTGACGCCGGATAACGAACATTCGACGGCCGAGGTTGTAGTTTGCGGTGGAGCAACATACGGTGCATTTATACAGCAATCTACCGATGCACCGGCCAATGGGAGCTGCGGGAGAATCGTGGCCACAGACCTCGAGGCCACATGGCAAATGGAGGAGATGCCATTTGTCAGGATAATGGGGGACATGGTGATGCTGCCCACCGGACATTTATTGATAATCAATGGTGCACAAGCGGGGTCTCAGGGATTTAACCTGGCTTCCAGCCCTTGTCTAAACCCGGTTCTTTATCGGCCAGAAATGGACGCCGGATTACGGTTTATGACACTTAATCCGGCAACCGTGCCCAGAATGTACCATTCGACTGCGGTTTTGTTGCCCGATGGCCGCATTTTGACAGCAGGCAGTAACCCTAATTACTTTTACAGGTTGGTTCCTCCTTTTGAAGCTTCTTTTGACTTTGTTCTTAACGCAAAAAAGGTTTTAAAGTAGGAAATGTTGACTGCACCAATAAAATCGTGCATTATAGAGTAATAATTCTATTAATTACACATAAACCTTGTTAGTAATGACTACAATACTTAGTTGTTTCTCTAATTTGATGAACAACTTTTGCATCACTATCACTACAAACAAACTTGCCACTTGTTGTGCCGGCGAGCCCCACAAAAAGTCACAAATACTTTAGGAGGGGATGACTAATGCTTTTTAATTTTTATATATAATCATAAAAAAGTTATCGTATTTTAGTAGGGGACCACAACTATACATATTCTTATTTTATTTGTATGTTGCACCAGTGTATTAGCTATTTTTCTATAACAAAACTCAAGCTCAAAACTTTGATTTTTTTTTACCATTTTGCTCTTATTTTAAGGTTCAACTTTTTTCGAATTATAATCCATCCAAAGGTTGGAATTTAGCACCACGCTTTTAAAAAAAAAAACAAAGTGTTTGGGTGGTTCGAATATCCAACATTGAATTTGTGTAGTCAATCAAACTTGAGATGTAATGTTGTTCGATGTGAACTGCCGTACGCTCGTCCAATTCCTAAACCGCCTTCCACACTTCTCGTGCGGTATATGAAGTGGTTCAAAAAGTTCAACATTCGACCCCGCACGTAATTGGGTGGTTTGAAATTTGGATCTTGAAATTGAACCTTTCAATCGAGTAAAATGGGAAGAAGACCAACTTAAAAAACTCTAAACCATATCCTAAAATATGGAATGTCTTTTAAATGCATTAAAGATTTTGAGTCTTCGTTTACTAGTTATAGGGGTGACGAAGCTACGATTTTCTTTTTTGTTTTGATTTTATGGTTTCGTAAGCACTAATTTTAATAAGAGCAGTTATATTAAAAACCTTATCATTAAATGAATAATTTTTTTAAAAAAAATGTACTTCTACAGTTTCAAAGGCGACTTTCCAACGGAGCTAAGGATCGAGGCTTTCTCCCCTGAATATCTCTCTCCCGATCGCCAAAATCTCCGTCCCGTTATCTCCAAAACACCGTCCGTTATCCGTTACAGCGAGCAATTCGAAGTCCAAATAAAGGTACCGTTACCCGTTGTCGAAGTCGTTGAAATCAACTTTGCGAGCGCGCCCTTCGCAACTCACTCTTTCTCACAAGGCCAACGCCTCGTCAAGCTTTCGGTCTCCAGCGCCCACCCCTCAATTTCCGGCGCAATTTCGGCGGATTCCGGCGGCTACACCTACACAATCTCTTGTACGGCTCCGCCCAACGGGGCGGTGGCGCCACCCAGCTATTACATGATGTTTGCAGTCAATCAAGGAGTGCCAAGTGTCGCCTCCTGGATTCATCTCATCAATTGAAATCGATGGTAGAGATTCGATATCAAAGTGTCCAATAAATAAAGGCCACAGTAGAGTTGGGACAAAATACCGTAATGTTGTGGGCCCAACAACAGTTACGTATACGACTACGGTGTACAGATGATTTAGATTGCGGACCACATACATTATTTTGATCAAAAGGTGAAGAAAACAGAAGGATTTGACAACACTTGCCCTTGCACTCCGGAATCATGGTTCAATTGAAAGGTGAGTAATTCGATGATTTACTTTCATTCGCCTTTTAGTCTATGGAAATTTACATTTGTAGTATTTCTTAAAGGGTGCGGTTTGTATAGAGCCGAGGCTCTGAACAATCAAAATAAAGCATACCTTCAAATAGTATCCAAAAATATGGTTTCAATACTGGAAATCATTGTGATAGCCTTAAAATATATTTTCATCTTTAATTATAAAATTTAAAGCTTCAAAAATAGTGTAGATCGAGCAAACCTATGAAAATCTTGAAATTAACAGTCCAAAGATATTTTACAAGAAGTACTATTTGCGAAACTTGAAATCCATTTTTTTCTCATCTCCATCATCTTGATGTCGAGATGATCAATTTGAGGATATTTGGGTATCGAAACAACCTCTTGAAGTCAAATTTTTAAGATGAGCTTTCATTTGATTGTTTAGAGCCTCAACTCTATGTAATATTTTTCCTTTTTTAAATAATTTATGAATTATACTAGGATTATATTTACTCCCAACCAAAAGACCTACTTAGAAGGATTTCATCTAATTTGAAATGTTGGGAATCACTATCACTAGATGATTGGTCTCATGAAAAAATTGAAATTTGAGTTTTTTAACACTTAGATCTTACCGTCTTAAAATTGCTGCAGTTTCTATTCAAACTTGAAACGTTATTTTTTTTCAATTGCATAAAGGGTGAAATGAGGTAATTTTTTAATGGCTAAGGTTTGCATAAGGTTGCGACCCTGAAAAATCAATGTAAAGTGCAACTCCAAACTTTGTTATAAGATAGTATGAGAATCTATTTTTATCGCTAATTAAGAGTTTAAACTCCAAATATGGATCAAATCAAACACATCTATAAGTACATGAAAAACCTTGAAAACATACGATCCAAATAAAGTGCTGCAAAATGTATTATTTGTTGGATTTGAAACTTATTTTTTTTTTTTCATATTCATACATCTCAATGATGGCATGATCAATAAGATAGTTCCCCAATGTTTAGCCTTTTTCAATGAAATTTTAAGGTGAACCTTAATTTTAATTCTATAATTTAAGACGTCAACCTAGATGACTTTTTTTTCCTTTTTTTTTTATTGAGATTTATCTATGGGTCGAAGTGATGATATACCCAAATTTAAGGTCCTGAAACTCATTAGTGAGGTTTTACGGCGCCTAAGAGAATATGATAAACTTATAGTATACTTTATATGTGAATTTTTCTCACAAGTTTTTCTTTCTCACGTAATTTTCCCATGTAGATCATTATTTTCGACCGGTATAAAACAAGGCCAAAAAATACATTGAATGACACCCCATTTGTTCTATAGATATTGTGAAGGGGTTACCAAAACTCTATTGGCTCAAAATATAAGTCTAACCATTTAACCAAAATTTAAAGAAAAATATACACATTCAACGAGCCAAATACATACCTTTTTAAGGAATTTGCTAATGGAATTGTATAATATGACACCATTTAACTTTTGTACAAGGAAGTAACAATTATTTTGAGTCATTAAATGTCAAATTGAATGACTTAAGATGTGTCACAAAATTTTTATTTTTTATTTTTTATTTTTTATTTTTTATTTTTTATTTTTTATTTTTTTTATTTAATTTTAAATCGAATCAATGACACTTTTACAATCTCCTAGTTCGAAATTTGACAAACAAAAGTAATTATATCCTCTTTATATTAAAAATAAATGGTCCCTCTATATACTTTTTTGAACTTCGAGTTTCTTAGAAAACTATCAATCCCAAGGCACCTTCAGATGCCCTGTTGATTAGATTTAAGTTAACAAAAAAATGTATATTATTGCTCAACTTGATTTTTTGCTGCTTTTTTCTTCCACCCTTTATTTTATTTTATATATAAATCTTTTATCTTGATTCAAATTGACAATCTTTTACCACCAACTCAAATCTAAACATGGGCAAAATCATTTTGATCATCTTTCAATTGGTAGTGTCGTCTGCTTGAGTACATGTGTTATGACCATAGAGGTCTATTTTGACCAACACTGGATCAATTCTTGAGCGTATTGATCGATCAAATCATGGATTAAACACCATTATGCAGTTTGAATGTAGTTACGTGCTTCGAGCCAAATTTGTTATGTAATCTACTCGGGATTTAAAAATCGTAGAGTTGAGACGAAATCGCTCATTCTGATCTAGAATCGATTGCCTTATTCTGGTTCTGTGTATATATGGGAAAACGGTTGAATCTAGTAGGGAATCGGCAATTCTGTATAGTTAAACAATGACTCTATGGTAAAATGGCAATCCGGACCCCTATTCGCTAATCCGGACATTGCCGGTTCACTGCTTTATCTGTGTTTTACTAGTTCATTGCTTTTTCCATACAATAAGATGGTGATCTAGAGCGTTTTTTGGGTACCCAATCGGGGTCATTGATCCGTTTTTTAAATCACTGGCTTTGGCTATACATTATTTTGACCGATGTCTAATTTAATAGTCTTAACGCATAGTACTCCGGGATCTAGAGGCACGAGAAGTTTTCGCTTTCTTCAAAGTGTTACACCCATGTTTTGGTAAAATTCTAAAGTGCAAACGGGTCAAGATGGGTACACACCCAATATATAACCAGATCAGAATACGATTTCTGAATCTCAAAATTGCACACTCATGAAACCCGTACAGAACCACAATTTATAAAATTGATATGTTATCCCAATCAGTATAAAACCATTAAACATTGATTGGAATCATAATATACTTCTCTTTGTGAATTTTCGTCGATAAGTTACTGTGATTGGGAACAACATCAACATGTATGTAACTGTCATAGACAACCAAGTAATTACCAGTGAGCACAGATGTCTACCACAATAAATAAATGAAAATCGTTTCATGCGGGCTGGACATGATTGCATGTGCATTCCAAAAAGTGTAAAGCATCTATCTTAAAGATGGATGCAAACAGGACATGATTGCAGCATTCCAAAAAATGTAAAGCATCCATCTTAAAGATGGATACAAGCAGGTGTTCCCTCAAAAAACAATGGAAACTATTTGTTCAAATATTTTCTTATTAGAAATGCTATTTCTAGTTTTAAAAATTTACTTATTTTTTCACATTCACGATCTCCATGTTAGAGATTACTTGTCTTCAAAAATTAAATCCAAAAATTCATCTCAAAAATAATTTATTACTAAGCCCACATTTCTACATATCAGGGCTTGGCCGCATAGAAACCGGGTTGTAAAATAAATGACAACTGTAATAGTAATTGTTACATGAAAAGTTGGAAAACTCTCATGAAAAGTTGGAAAACTCTTCCCAACGCTTATAGGCGAAAATGAACAGTGATTTTGTCTACCTTCATCAGCGTCCAAAGTTCATTGTACAGTCACGATTGTCTGGTAATGTTTAGTTTTTTATATTTTTTTCTACAAATCGGAATGATCTAAAATTTAGAACATGTGAACATCTTAGTGAAGCACACCTAATATATATATATATATATATAAACAAATTGACCAAAATACCTCCCAAATTTTTCGAAGGTATTTTGATCAATTTTTTTCATGTAAAATATTTTTTTTTATATTTTTCGTAGATTCGCTTATTTTTTATGAATATACGCTCTAAATTTTAGGTCATTCTGATTTGTAGAAATAAATGAAAAATGAAACATTACCGAACAATAGTGACTGTGTGATGAATTTTGGATGGTGATAAAAGTAAGTAAAATCACTATACATTTTCATTTATAGACGTTTTGTAGTATCTTCCTGAAAAGTTAAAAGTAAAATATTCTCTCTCTCACTCTTGCTTTGCTACTCCCCATTGACTCGAATTAAAAGTTTGTAACAGGTAAGGGTAGCAACGGGTTGGGCCCAAGTCCGGTTTGATTGAACCCATATACAAACTTTGAATAGTATTTGGATCCAAGTTTTAAACTCAGAACCGACATATCTGAGTCTAAAATTTGGATTGATACCTGGACCTGAGGTCGGGCCTATTGGTTAGGTCTGAGGCCCGATCGAGTCCATTGCCACCTTATGACTATAAGGTTTTTTTCTTTATTTATTTTTTGGGTAGACAAAGTGCGGAATACAAACCCCTATCAATAATTAAACAATTTTTTAATGCATAGCAGTTTTGGAATGCGTAAGTGGGATTCGATACCAATAATTAACAGTTTTTTAATGCATATCAGTTTTCGAATGCGCAAGTGGGAATGGGGCCAATAATTAACAGTTTTTTAATGAGTAAGTGGGAATGGGGCCAATAATTAACAGTTTTTTAATGAGTAAGTGGGAATGGGGCGGAGGACGCGGTGATAGCACCATTATGTAATTATATTATTGGCAATATTGTGCAATCCTTACTGTTTTATACAATAACTAAAACCTTTCCAAAAAAAAAAGCAAAAAAAAACCAACATAGGCAATATTTATATTTGGATTGGGTCCGGATCAGATCCAGGTCCATAATAGTATTTAAGTCAAGATTTTAGTGCAGACCCAACCTTTCAGATCCACAATTTTAACTCCTACCGGGACCCAAGGTTGGGTCTACCCGTCGTCCTGAGTCCTGTCGGGTCCATTGGCACCCCGAGTAGCGTAAAAAGCAGAGAGGTAAAAGGGAGTGGTTACGGATTAAAAAAGGTCAGATTAAAGTCATAAAACTTTCCCTTGAACCAAGAGTCTCCCTTGAGAACAAGGAATGTATTTCACAAGATAAAAGAGAGTAAAACCCAACTTCCTGCTCATAAAATCTTTTCAAAAATATTATTTTATTATCATCTTTAGTGAGGTGTAAGGTTGGTGCAAGAAGATGGTACAAATGGCAGCCCTTAAACCGGGCCAAGCCACTTGAAATAAAACGTGGCACGATGTACATGAGGGGTGGTTCTAAAAGAGGGAGAGAACTGGTTATGGTCTAAAACGACCACACTGCTAAAATAAACTAGCATATACAACGTTGTTTTGAAACAAACCAGAAAAAAGCTAACATATCAACCGTTTCAACTACTTTCAACCAAAAACAAAATGTACTTTCACGGCCCCTTTCGTAATACTACGCTTGCACCTCCTCGATCTTGAAAAGCTTCCTACACATCGATCCACCGTCATTCATCGACAATTAAGACTGCAACACAGAAAAATGACACCATTTCTGAAATTCTGTAGACCTTAGATTCTGTAAACAAGAGCAGTACAGAAAAAAACCATGCAACTCGAGGGATTTAGATTACGAGGACATAAAAAAAACTATGCAAATTGGACGAGGTATTTAGATTGTCGTGGGCGCTTTTGTAATCTATAGATTTTCAATAATTTAGATTGTTGATGGCGCTTTTGTAATCTGTAAGACTTTCAATAATTGCCTTCCGATGCATAAAAAGCTCAGGCCATGGCATCAGCTGACTCGCGGACACAAGAGGTGATCCGTTCTCATTCATACATTTTGAAAAATTATGTGATTGCTAGTAAATATAGCTCCTCCCATAGATACATTTTGAAAAATTATGCAATCGCACTCCTCTCGTGGGAGAGAGAACTCCAATACTTCCCATAAATTCAGACATCAACCAAATGTTTTCAACAAGTTCACAAATCATCTGTCACACTAGTATGAAATTTACCTACGAATACCACCCAACAATTTAACCATGTTTTAAAGAGATTAAATATTTGTAGCAACCAGATTTTTATCTCCATCAGTATCGAAAACACAATCTTTTCCACTAACAATTCGCATCAACTGCATCAAATCAACAAAATAGTAAAATTCCACATTATCTATCACACTTAAAACTCATATATCATAACAACCATACAACTCCGAAGCACACGCCACACATTCACTTCTCCAAAACAGATATACCATTACATTTCTGAAACACAGAAGAAACCACACGCCACATATCCACATGTTCACTTCACAGATAGATACAACATCCACAGCTCTATACACATGGTCAACAAGTAAAAAAAACCTTCGTTTTTCCCGGATCCCAAGCCCTCCATAACAGAGAACTCGGAAACTCAACCTGAAATCTCGATGGATTTCACATCAGTCTTTGTGGCTTCAACTTTGGGAACAGTCACAGTGAGAACTCCATTCTCCATTGTCGCCTTCACTTCGTCGACCTTCCCATTTTCAGGGAGCCTGAACTTCCTCAAGAACCTGCCCAGGCTTCTCTCTACCCTGTGCCACCTATCGGTCTTCTCTTCCACCTCCTTCTTTCTCTCTCCGCTTATCTGCAGCACTCTGCCATCCACCAGCTCAACTTTCACCTCCTCTTTGGTGAGACCGGGGAGATCGGCCTTGATGATATGAGCGTTGTCTGTCTCTTTCCAGTCGAACCTGGCGTTCAAGATCGCAGAGGTCGCTGGGTCCTGGGGAATAAGAGAAGAAGGTGAAGCGGTGCTCAGGGGCGAAGGGAAGAAGCCCTCAAAGGGATCCCAAATGTCAAGAGAGAAAGGGTCGAAGATATGGGACCTTCGCCCAAAACCGGTTGGGATCAAAGCCATTTTTCACTAGTTTTCTGATACACCGAGACTTCAAGAACCAGAATTGAATTCTCTTTTACAGGATAAAGATTTGTATGCTGCCTAAACTGCTCTTTGCAAATGGGAGGATTGGGAATTTATAGTGAGAGAAAACGGCGTCGAAGTTTCTAGACAAAAATCACATCCGGATAATTCCGGATATAACTGCAATTTTCTAGAGGAGGGCATCCTGAATATTTAGATTTTACAATGATCGACCGTCCAATGGTGAAACAAACAGTGGCGATCAACCGCGATAGATATGCTTTCTGTTATATGCTTGTGTTGTTTTGCATCCACCGTTCATTTTAGGACAGGGCGGTTGATTTTGCCAACTTCTTGTTTACGGCTGATTTTCACAGATGAGCGGCGTCGGAAGTGGGCGAAGAACACGCGGCTGAAAGGAGGAAGCAAGAGGACACATGGCCAAGAGAGGGATAGAGCATGGCACACGGCAGAGGAGGACGGAAAGAGGGAGCACGTGGCCAACTGACAAAATGCACACACGAGAGAGGAGACAGATAAATCCCTACCACCATTTTTTATTAAATATCCAAATTAACTGCCGATATCCTTCTGCTTTTTTTTATTTTTTGGAAATTATACGGATAAACGGACAATTAGTCCTTGAAAATTTAGCGATCTGAATAAGAATCATCTGATTCGAAATGAGAATCATCGATATTATTTTAGATCCTATAATATATGGGAATTTGGATTGGGATTTGGTTTATTTGTTCGGTTCGGACAATCTATACCCATTCTATAAAAAAATAATAATAATTCAGATGCGCCAACCAAATCCCACTTTTTTTTCTCTTTTTTTTTGATAATAATGAATTCCTATATTTTTATTAATTTTTTTAATTAAAAAATTGTTTATGCTTCGATCTGTGTTGATCTATGAGTTGAGATCGATTCAAATATTTACAAAACTTAGTTAAATTTCAAAGGTAGAGAAAGTAGAGTCGTTTCAATTATGGGTCAAAGAATGATATAGATCTATTCAAATCTGATTTTTTATTGGGTCCATTCGCATCGTCAGCTCTAAATCCGTATTTTAATTTTAAAAAAAAATGCTCCTAAATTTTAACTAAATCTATTAATTTTTAAAAATAAAATAAAAAATAAATTTAAGCCAAAAAAATAAATTTAATTAAGCACAAAAATAAATATTTAGCTCTAGAAATCCAAAATTCAGAGTTTCATGTTTGGATCAGGCTGCTCTTCTGATTTGTGCAATCATCTCTTTTTTGGATGCCTTATGCTTGCTAAAATATGTAGACCAAAAGTTCTTTGATATACATCTAAGATTCCTACGGCTCAAGAAAAAGCATGAAAATTTTAGAAACGATCTATTTAGCCTTTTGTCGGATTTGAATAAAGTTTTTTTTAGATTTCTAAGGGTTTTGGGACTTTACAAGGTAAAATCTAAATTTTGGGTTTTTTTGAATTTTTTGAGATTTTTTCTATTTTTTTAGAAATCTTTTAGTTTTTTTTTTTTTTTTTTCTAATTTAAGGTATTTTCTGAATTCACAATGCTCATGGTCATTCGGGTGTCTACAAAAACTTAAGTGGTGGCCCACCAATAATTGAGGTTAAATGAGGCCTTTTCAACATTAAAATATATTTTTTTTATGGATTATTAAAATGCATTTATAATTTTATATTTTAAGGTCACAACTTCCAACTACGGCCGAGCCTTTTTCCATCCCCTTTATATCGTTGTTTGCCATCAAATTTCTTTGACGTGGAATAATTATTTTTTAATCCTTTCTCTCTACTCAAACATGTAATGGAGTTTGTAGCGAATAAACTCCATTCAAAAGAGGCTCGTGTTCGTCGAAATTTCGGAGCAGTAAGAGCTAGGTTATTGGTTTAAATTTCGGTCGAAATTTTAGCAGAATGTTGGCCAGTCGCTGCAAACTGCAAGGATCCTAGTGTTACGAGCTTTTGCGCGAAAATCTGGAGTTCTAAACACCTCGTCATCACGAAGCTTTCTGTTCATCTGATGAGAGACAAATCGAAGACAGAAAAGAGAGGGCGTGTTGGTGTTGATGAGAGAGAAATCGAGAATGAGGAGAAATCGATAAATGGAGAGATATTAGGTCATTAAGATTAATAAAAAAAAAAACCAGCATATAGGATTTAAAAAAAAAAAGAAAAAATCAGTACTAATACTAGTTTATTGACATTTACAATATATTATTTTATAAGATATTTTAAGAGAAAAAAAGATACTAATTCATACCATTTTAGAATCTCTTTTCAAATTACTTACTCGATTTTTTCACATTGTAAGTATGAATTTATTTATTTTTAAATTTTTTTTATTAAAACATGATTGTAAATTTATATTTTAAATTCTATATTTTTTTTCATGTTACTTATTACTCCATAGATTTATTTATTTGTGAGGTTTGTTGTATATTTATCTTACCTCTACTAAATCAAATAGTTGTCCAAAAGTATTATACACTTCCTTCTTTCTTCACTACAAATTTGAATCTTAGATATCTATTCTATTGTAAGATATTATATTTTAAATTTTATTTAACTACAAAATTTTATTCGACTACAAAATAAATGTAATGGATAGTAAACAATCAGATATGAGACAAGTTCAAAAATTACATATTTTTAATAAAATAGTAAAAACTCTAATACAATGCCATTATTTTTTGTAAAAAAATTATTGCCTGTCGACTTTCAAATAAGAAAAGCACACAAAAACACCATTTACTTTTAACTCGAGGTGGCAATCAATCTTAGCCCTCAAACTTGCAAATCCAATGGTTGAAAAAATTGTTAAAAAAAATCTCCATCTTTATCATTAGATTCAAAATTTTTAAAAAAAAATATTCTCAAATTTTTGATGCATCCCAAACCGTCTACAAATAATTGTGATCCTTTTATAATGGTATAATTTCTCATCGATTATCAATTATTATTTTTATTATTTTTATTATTATTTTTTTTATACAAAAACTGATAGTGGGCCACAACCCAAATTGGAGATAAAAGAATGTAAAAATTTTATAATTATGATTGCAATAGAAAATTATCCCTCATCAATTTCTACAACTGTTGAAATCAATTTAGATTTTCCCTTACTTTCACTTACCAATTATTAAAAAAATTTGTTTTTATATTAGTCAAACGGACTATAACTAAATTGAGGAGAGAAGAATGTAGAAATTTTTTATTATGATTGCAGTAGAAAATTGTCTTCGTACATCTATTCAAATCAATTTAGATTCCTCTTTTCATATCCTCTACTTTCACTTTCTACTTATCCTAATAATTATACCATACAGTATATACTTGAGAGAGATGTTTTTTAAGCGGAAATAAAACAGAGAGACTGCATATGAAAAATTTCCAATGATACAAATGTTTTTTAAGCAAAGATAGGCCAGAGATACGCATACGAAATATTTCTAGAGATTACTTGTCAACCTCGTAATAGATTTTTCACCACTCGTACATCTGATGGATTTCGTGATTTTTTGATAAATTTAACGTAATCTCAGATAATCTCTTTTTTTTCTTTTTTTTTTACTATTAAAGTATATCCAAACGATATAAAGGTGTGTTAAACACATGGAGTTTTTTTAGAATGAAAGAGACTTTCCCACACATTACGAAAACTGTTCTTCCATCGTTTCTTCCAAAGCTGAACCCATTTTAACATTAAAAAAATTTCCATAAAAAATTGCCTTTCTAGCTTCCACACAATAATATCAAACATGAAAGTTAGGACATTTAGCTCCCACTTCTAATAACTCTCACTTATCAAACACGCCCAAACACGCCATAAATATAATAATATACCTTTCCTTGTAATCTATTGTTACTTTCTTGTAATCTATTGTTACGTTGTAGATTTTCATGTACCCAAAACGGGCCCGAGCTAAGAAGAAAGGACATGAGACTAACTGCACTCGTTAAGCCCACTTCCATTACGACAGGAAACAGAAAACTGATACACGCCTACACGGCCATTCACTTCTTTCCTAATTTTACCTTCCATCTGACAAAACAGACACGGCTAAAAACTCAGAAACTTAGCGATGAAAACTCAAGACCTCTGCCCCTCAAACTCAGGAATTTCAGCTTGAAATCTCAATGGATTTGACGTTAGGCTTTTGGGCTTCGACTTTGGGAACAGTCACAGTGAGAACTCCTTTCTCCATTGCCGCCCACATCATTGACCTTCGCAATTTGAGGGAGCCTGAACCATCTCACGAACTTTACCGGGCTTCTCTCTACCCTGTGCCACTCTTCTCTTCCACCTCCTTTCTCCCTCCGCTTATCCGCAGCACATTGCCTTCCTCCAACTCAACCTTCACGTCCTCTTTGTTGAGACCGGGGAGATCGGCCTTGATGATATGAGCATTGTCGGTCTGTTTTCAGTCGAACCTCCCATGCAAGAACGAAGAGGCGGCTGAATCATGGGGAATAAGAGAAGAAGAAGAGGAAGGTGTATCCCAAATATCAAGAGAGAAGGGGTCGTAAACATTGAATCTTTGCGCAAAAACTCTTGGAATCAGAGACATTTCTCACTACTTTCTTGATATATATATATATATATATATATATTAAGAGAGAGAGAGAGAGAATTCGAACACAAGAAACAGAAATGAAGGATTGCTTTTGATGAACAGAGATGATCATCTACGGTGGATCCTTGAAACTGCCATTTGCAATGGGGAGGAGAGGGAATTTATGGTGACAGACGGAGAAGGGGGTGGAAGTTTCTGGACAAAAATCACGTACAGAGAATTTACTTTGTAAGGAGCACATCCTGAATATGTAGAGAGTTGAGATTTGACAGACAGTCATTGACCGTCCATTGGTAAAAGAAACAGTAGCGATCAACCGCGATAGAGAGGTTTTCTGTCGGAAAGGTGCAAGAACACGGGGCTGAAGTACGAAGTAGGCGACACGTGGGAAAGCGAGGAGTAGAGCAGGGCAGTGCCAGGAGAGGGAGATACAAACCTACCGCTATTTTCCATTAAATTGACAAATTAAAGTCCGTCAGGGCTGCTTTTCCGGAATAACACGTGTTTGAAGCTATTAATATTTGAAAATTCGGCGATTTGAATCGGAAATGCCGGTTGTGATGTTGTTTTGGATCTTGCAATATATTTAATTTTGGTCGAGTCCCTTCCTTATCGGTTCCGGTGGTCCGCACCGATTATGTAAAAAGAATATCAGCGCCCCAATCGGTTCCCACGTCTTTATTAATATTTTAATTAAAAAAATCAATTTATAACGTTGCAACAAATAAAGAAAAATTACAAAAAGCCTCCAAAAGGAGGCAAGCTTTTCAGAAACATTTTCAGAAACAAGGAGCCAGACCCTCCCTATTTTATAATGGAGGGCATGCTTTTTTTTTTTTTACTTCATTTTATTTTCTTTTGATTTGATTTCGGGGTATTTGTTAGAAAAATTAAATTTTATATAAAAATTGCTAAAAGAAACTTGGTTAGGTTTAACAATTAGGTCTAGAAAATAGAAAGTATGATTTAGCAATTAGGTCTAGAAAATAGAAAGTATGATTTTGGAGTTTTTTTTTGTGAGTTTTCTCTGCACAAAATAGTACTCGTTCGTAGGATATTAAAAAATATTAATATTAATTTATTAAACATTAAAAAATATTAATTTATAAAATATTTTGAGAAAAAAAATATTACTAGCTTATACTACATTAGAATGTATTTTAAAATTGTTTTAACAATTTTTCTACAATACAATTATGAATTTATTTATTTTTCAATTTTTATTAAAACATGATTCAAAATTTATATTTATAAATTTATATTTTTCGTCACACTAATTATTCTAAATTATGGTTATTTATTTATGAAGATCGTACCCTTATTTTTTTTCTTTATTAAATCAAGCAATTTAAAAACTATTACACACTTCTTCTTTTTCACTATAAATTTGTGGTCACACTAATTATTATAGATTATGCTTATTTCTTTGTGAAGATCGTACCTTTTTATTAAATCAAAAAATTAAAAAACTATAACACACTTCTTCTTCTTTTTCACTATAAATTTGAGTCTTAAAAGATCCAATCAATGAATTGTATTTTAAATTTCATTCGATTATAAATTAAATATAATAAATCTCAATACTTATGTATTTTCAATAAAATAATAAAAAATGATAATATAATACCATTACTTTTTTAAAAAAAATATTAAAAAATAAAATTTAATTAATTTTAATAATTCTGTATTTTTTAATGCTAAATCTTCTCAATCCGACGTATTCCTCGGTCCGAGGAGCCAACCCGCCAATCCAACTCGATTTTTAAGATGAACAATCTCAATAACATATAAATTATCTTAATAATAACTAGAGAAGTTTTTAAAACAGTGAAACTGAGAAATACAACCAAATAAAAATGGGTGTCGTTTGTACGATCGCTATTATTTATTACACATTTTATTGTTGCTTAGACAACCTCCATTAGAGCTCACACAACTCTTCACACAACTACACAACCCTTCTCTTCTTCCTAACTTTAGCTTCCATCCAACAAAAACAGATCCGGATAAAAAACTCACAAACTTAGCGATGAAAACTCGAGACCTCTGCCCTCAAACTTAGGAATCGCAGCCTGAAACCTCAATGGATTTGACGACAGGCTTTCGGACTTCACCTTTAGGAATAGTCACAGTGAGAACTCCATTCTCCATTGTCGCGTTCACTTCGTCGACCTTCGCATTATTAGGGAGCCTGAACCTCCTCACGAACTTGCCGTGGCTTCTCTCTACCCTGTGCCACTTCTCATTCTCCTCTTCCACCTCTTTTTTTCTCTCTCCGCTTATCCGCAGCACACTACCTTCCTCCAACTCAACCTTCACATCCTCTTTGTTGAGACCGGGGAGATCAGCCTTGATGATATGAGCGTTGTCAGTCTCTTTCCAGTCGAACCTGGGGTTCAAGATCGCAGAGGAGGTTGGATCATGGGGAATTAGAGAACGGGGAGACATGTTAAAGGGAGAAGGGAGGAAGGCCTCAAAGGGATCCCAAATGTCAAGAGAAAAGGGGTCGAAGACATTGGACCTTCGCCCAAAACCGGTCGGCATCATAGCCATTTTTCACTGGTTTTTTGATACAGAGAGAATTCGCGAGCCAGAATTGAGGGTTTTTTTTATAAGAGAGAACACCGTAAGGCTGCTTCTGATGATAAGAGAGAGGGTAATTTTTAGGAGACTCAAACACTAGAGTCATATCAAAATAAGTAAAGCCTTATTTCATAACTCATTGAAAATTGTGTTGATAAATTTTTCCATTGATCAATTTGACCTGAATATTATGGTCTTGAAAACTAAATTAGGATTTGAAGCTCTAAAAATAATGTATATTATAATAAACTATTTAAAAATAATGTATATTATAATAAACTATTTAGACTGACCATTTGATCCTAAAAATAAGTGTTTATAGATTCACAAAGTTTGTAATATTTTTTTAGTTTCAACTTTTATTGTCGGTGTTCGAAATGGATTTTAGATCCATCATGGAGATTTCCATTATCGAAAGTGTTTTTCATATCAAGATTTGAAGTGAGGCTTTATTTTGTTTTCATGAAGCCTAAGCTTTTTAAAAACTTCATCCTTCTTGTATTTAACCCTCAAAAAGTAAAAAAAATTGAGATTAAAATGTCATTTTCCTCTTTTACTCTCTACCCACTCTCTTTCTCCCCCCCACACACTTTCTCTCTTTGCTAGCCATCTCTCTCTCAACCCTCTCTCTATCTCTCTTACATAAATTTCCGACGCCATATACTCCAAAACAAGAAAAGAAAACCTCTGATATACCAGCCAATTTTCTCACCTCCGTAAACCAACCTATTTCGCCCATTTGTTGGCCAAAACCCAGCCATTCTCCTTGAAATTTCGCCATAAAACCCATAAAAGTGCAATAGTAAATATAAATAAATAAAATAAAATCGAGAAACAAACATCGCCTAATTAAATAAGGACCTGGTTTCTATTCGGCCAAGCCCGCATATGTAGAAATACGGGCCCCTTAATAAATCTATTTTTGAAAAGGATTTTTAGACTTAAATTTTAAGGACATGTAATTTCTAGCATTGAGATCATGAATATGAAAAAATAAATAAATTTTAACAACTAGAGATAATAATTCTAACAAAAAAACATTTGGACCATTAATTTTCATTGTTTTTAAATGGAGTACCCACTTCTTAACCGCATATGTAGAAATGCGGTCCAGCTAGCATGAAATAGTTTTCTATTAAATAAAGCACCTAAAACCCACATCAAGAATCCGAAAAACACCCCACTTTCGGGTCTTATTCCGGCCAAAAACACACAGGAAAAATCCTTCACCTTACCCTGACCTGATCAAGAATGCATCGAATTCATACCCTCTCGCTCTCTCTTTCTCGGTCCCTGTTGCTCCACAAACTAGTTGGGTACTTTCCATCCCTAACACAAAAGAAATACCACTCTGTCCCTTCCATCTTTCCTCTCCCTGCTACGAAATTAAAAACCCATTCTCGAATCGAATCGACCTTCAAAATCAGATGAAAAAAAAGAACAAGTAAAGCCGCAGAGGACTTACAAGGAAGATCCCATGGCTCGTGGTGAAGCTCGAGTCGAGGACCTTTGGAGAGAGATAGTGGGTGATGAGCTCTTCATCACTGCGGTTTGTATAAAGTCGAGGCTCTAACAGTCGAAGTAAAACGCACCTTCAAATAGTGTGGATAAATGTGGTTTCAATATTGAAATTTTTTGTGATAGCTTTAAAACATATTTTCATCTCTAACTATAAAATTTAAGTTTAAAAAATAGTGTATATCAAACAAATCTATGAAAACTTGAAAATATTAAAAATTGAATGTCCAAAAATGTATTACAAGATGCACTATTTTCAATACTTGAAATCTATTTTGTTTATGATGTCCATGCATCTTGATGTTATCAATTTCAGGATATTTGGGCACCAAAACAACCTCTTCTAGTGAAATTTTTGATGTGCGCCCTAATTTGATTGTTTAGAGCCTTGCAGTTATAAAAAAAATCTCTTTTATTTTTTGTACCAGGATGTCACAATCACGCTTATCCCTTGGATTTCAAATTGGGCATTTGTAAGAGTGTCAACGAAAAGGCTCAAAGTTAAAAAAGAAAAATTCTTAGTCTTCGTGACTAACCCAAGCCATCTAATGAGTATGAGTGATTGTGACTGTCACACCCCAAGAATTTACAATACAGATATTCTTGAGATGTGACAGTCCAAAACATATATACAACTCTTGATAGGACAAATTTACAGTGGCGAGGTCTTACAATATCTTCCAAGGTTGATCTTGACTAGCACTCAAAATGAATCCGCAGTTATCCTGAAAAAATGTTTACCATAGTTTGATGAGTTTGGCTACTCAGTAAGTGATCATCATAATCCTAAAAATAATCATGGTTGGAAGATATCAATATTTTCCAAAAGGAGATATATTAACAGAAATGCATCAACAGTTTCACTTTCAATAAATGCATAATTAAGTATAATCTGAATAATTGAAATGCATATAACACTTTAACGGTAGTGCATAATTCAAAGGATTTCACAAAATACCCTACTGGCGTCCCAAGTAGGTCACCTATATACCCCATCAGCGTCCTGATGGGTCAACTTAATCCCTATTGGCATCCCAAATAGGTCCACTTAATCCCTGCAGGTCCACTTATACCTCACAGCCGTACCGGATGAGTCCACTTAATCCCTACCGGCGTCTCGGATAGGTCCACTTATACCTCACCGGCGAACCGGATGAGTCCACTTGCATACTTAAATTATTTCTAAATCTCTTTAAACATTCGAAAGTAGCAATATCATGTACTCAACATATCACTAGAATCATTTATATGAATCTCACTGAAACCATTAATAGCATTCACTTTCAATAACATTTCAAAAATAACCAATCAAATCTTTTGGGCTCAAATTTAGAAAGGTAGCAGTTCGTAAAGACATTCTAGCATAATTGCCATTTTAATATGTATAGAAAAACTCTTATAAAAATTCAAGAATACGAAATTATCACAATTTATGGGATATCAATTGACAAATGAACATTTCACAGACAATGCTATAATCAAATGCAAACATAGCAGTTTTCAAATAATAAGGCAGTCATTTGCACATAAAATTTACAATGTCTAAATATTCAAAAACAGTAGAAAGAATTCTCACAATTTTATTAACAGCAGAAATATTACATTTATTTTTAATAATTTTACAGTATCTAAAATTTTCTAACAATAGACAAGAAAAATAAATAAATTTATTTTTCTAAGAACTTACAGCATTTAAAATTTCTAACATAGATAAAATATCACAATTTTTATAAAAAAGATTATTTTTCAAGATAATGAGGTCGCGTGTGCATAAAATTTATCGCGCCTAAAATTCATGATAATAAGTAGAAATAATTATTTCACTTTATTTTTAAAAAGAATGGATTATTTTTCGAGACAATAAGGTCACTTACACACAAAACTTATAAAATAAAGATCCTGGACAGAAATATCACTATTTATTAAAAACAGACTATTTCTCAGGAAGACGATGTCACTTACCTAAAATATTTTGTGAGAGTGCATCCGATAAAAATTCGGCTAGAGAGAGAGAGAGAAACCTCGCCTCTCGTATTTAAACTCTTACGACACCTTTTAATAATATTTTATTAAGTTACACCTCATACACGAGGTGTAACGTTTATATTACCTCTTATACACTTAAAGCCCACGTCCACTGGACGTGGCAAGGCATCAACAAACAAACAAACTCAAACTAAAAGCTTTGAAAATGGTGATGGTCCCTAAGGACTATCATGCTCATATGGACCATCACTTATTAACAGTTTTCCTTTTTTTTTTTTTTTTTTTTTTTTTTTGAAAGTTAAAGATTGTTACATTCTCCCCCTCTTAAAGAAATTTAGTCCTCTAAATTTATGTACCTGATTACTGAAAAAGATAGGGATATTTTTCTCTGATATCGTGTTCTCGTTCCCAAGTCGACTCTTCTCTTGAATGGTACTGCCATAATACACAGACTAAATCTCCTTCTTGCGCAACACTTGTACCCTTTTATCCAATATCAAAATTGGCTGCTCAATGAAGGATAGGTCCTTCCTGATCTATAAAGGTTCATATTTCAAGATATGAGATGGGTCGGGCTGATATTTTCGTAGTGAAGATACATGAAAAACATTATGTACATTTACC